ATGATTTTATCTTATTTTAATAGGGATTCTTTCGGAACTCTTATTCTAGTTGAATTTGATACAGGACAAGGGAATTGGACACTGGCGGTTCAGTTGTGTCATGTCATTTCCTTGGAAGCCCATTCTTTCTGGTATGTTTCGTGCTCTACGTGCCAAGATTGTATATATTGACATGCTGATTGCCTCATTGGAGGTTAATTAATTAGTTCTCTATGTAATTAATGCGTTGCAGCTACTGGATACACAGAATACTATTTTGACGAAAAATCTGGAAGAGTATGCAGGTAACTGGTAACAGAAACGAAACATGGTACTCCATTTGTAATGCACTGTTCCAATTGGTTTAGCTTTCGAAATATTTTCAGGCACGTGGAGCATTGGAATGTTCCCAAAATGGCACTGCTAAAGCAGCTTCTGAAGCCCAGCCAAGGTTTTTGGGGTGGTAGAAAAACAAGTGCTTGAAGAATTAATGCATGACTGGACCTCATGACTGATATGGGTTTCCAGGAGATGGATTAATAATTATGGTGTCCCAGATCATGCATTGTTGGGGGTGGAATGAGCAGGGATCGCTGTGCATGATGGAGAATCCTAGCAAGAAAAATAAAGCTTGTTATTACTTGTACTAGTTTTAGAGTCCAGCCATGTACATAGTTACAAGTTACATGTAATAACAACTCAATGAGAATCAAAGGAAAAGATCAAGTGGTTATGGTCAGAGCTTCTATTTGTCTCAAAATTACTAGTCTTTAGCTATGTTATGCATTGTTTTAATATGTTGTCGTCCTGTTTTATTTGTCCACTCGCTTGGTTTAAAAGCTCCATCTCAGTGTCTCTGGATTGCTCCTCATCTTCCTTCTTGTTACAAGCATATCCAAAAAAGTTGTTCATGGCCGCCTCAGCTTCTCTATGCCTTTGAAAAGCTATAAGGTGACATGGGGTTGAAGAGTGTTTCGGTATTTCTGATATCAAATTCGGTGATAGCGGATCAAAGAGTGATTCTGTATTTCCGATATGAAATTCGGTGACATGCTCAGTATCGGTCGTGGCACGGAGTTTGGTCGTGGCTCAGCCAAGATCGTGCTCTCTTCTCTAAAACTATACTTCTTTCGCTCATTGCCAGTTGCCCACCACCACACGTTCACGAGAATGGCAAACTTTTGGATTTAATCCAACAAAAAAAACATGAAGAACGTCATTCAAATCTCGTTTAAAATGGTTTTTGTGTATTAATAACAGCAAATCAGTCAGACTAGGATAGAAGTTTTAAGAAGTGATGTTACTTAGATTTTTTAATTAAAAAATACCTTCATGTTGTTTGGGCTCAGCCCAAACAATTTGGTTATTCCACGCTGTTTCATGCTATTTAAGTGAAGGCCCAAGCTATCCAATTTTCTGTTGCTCACTTCTCTATTTTTTTTCTCATAGTTATATTCCCTCCCTCTCTCATATGTCTTCTGCCTCCCTCTCCTTTTTCACCACACGGGCGTTTAGTTTGCACGCGCTATGCTTTTTGGAGTTACAACGAGAGGCTATTTGTTCGATGAAAAGTAAATTTTAGGATAATAATTTTTTTTTTAAAAAATTATTTTTTAATATTTAATAGTATAATAAAAAATAAGTTAGAAAATACTTCCTAGTATTTGGATATGTTATGAAACAAAATTGAAAAATAACTTATTAATATTTTATTTTTCTCAAGTTTATTAAAATAATAAGTAACAAATCTTATAAATTAAAAGGTTAAATGAAAATAAAATTGAAAAAAATATAATTTCATAAATTATTTCAAATAAAATAAATAATAGTCAAAATAATAGAGATTAAATCTAACAAATAAAAAAATTAAAAGATGAAGAAATTAAAATAATAATAATTATCATTAAAAAAAATAAAAGATAAAGACATTAAAATAATAATATTAACATTTCATAAATTATTTCATATAAAATAAGTAATAATAAAAAGTATAAGAATCAAATTTGATAAATAAAAAATTACAATAGAAAAATAATAAGAAAAAAATAAATAACAATTATAACAAATAAAGACCAAAGTTAATATAAAAATTAAATTTTAAGAGATGAAATTGAATAATAAATATTTAAAAACAAAATATATATAGCAATCAAAAATTTGATGATCAAATTTGATATAATCAGTAAATAATATGATATTTCTAAATTTTTCACAACTTCTAGAAAATATTTTTTTAACTGAAAAATATTTTCCGTTAACCAATTTTTTTAATAATAAACAAAACGAGAGATTTTTCTTGCAACCACAAATTTTTATGCAAGTTGTCAACATATTTTCTAATTAACATTGCAAAACCACACCATATTTTATATAATTAAATGTTTTTTTTTTTATCAAAGCCTATTCGTAGTTAACATGTTATTGGCGTAGTTAACATGTTATTGGCATTCACTAAATATTTCACTTATAAAACTTTATTAAAAAAATAAGAAATAGATAAAAAGTTAAAAAGAAAAGAAATTTAAAAATAAAATCTAATTTTATAAATTATCTTAAATAAATAAATAACAATATGAAAACTAGATATGAGAGATAAATAACAATAAAAAAATAAATATTAAGTCTTATAGATAAAAATTTTAATTAATAAAAGAATAAAATAAAAATAAATAATAATTACAAAAATAGTACCAAATTGATATAAAAATTTAATTTAATTTTAAGTCATGAAATTCAAAATAGAATATATAACAATCTTTAAGACTAGACTTAGTATAATTAATAAATAATAAGATATTTTTAGATTGTTCACAACCTTTGAAAATGTTTTTGAATTAAAAAAATTTAATAATTTTTTTTAAAAAAACTAAGTTAAATAATTTTTTAATTAATTAATTTTTCTAATAATAAATAAATGCAAAAACATTTAAAAATTATTTTTCACACAGGTCTAAATAATAAAATATCAAAACTGGATGGAAATGAGAGTATAAAAACTAATTCTTAAATGACTTTGAATTCTAATATAGGTTTCGTGAGGGTAGCTAAATAATAGTTTTTGTGAAAAACTTGCCACGTGAAACTTTCACGCAGCACGTGACACTCATCGCAAAACAGGGCTCTCTGGACTCTAGCTATAGCTACGGGCCGAGATAAACGTAAATTCCCGTCAATCGAAGTCCAAACAAAAACGTCCGGGTCGACCGGATAGCTAATTTGATAATCTATACCAAAATAAAAACATGACCATCACTTGAAGAAAGCAAAGCAAAAACCTCTCCTTTTCGGTTCTTTCACCCTCTGCTACTCTCAGATTCCTCTCCAGTCTCCACCATAGCGTTTCCTCTTTAGTCTTCGACTGGCCCACGGCTGGCTTAACATGAACGCACCGTATAGTGATTGACGGAAGCATGGTGGGCCAGATGATGAATATTGCACAACTGCCGAATGAAAATTAGACACAAGCTCCGTCTTTGCCACACATATCTAAGGACCGTCGAGGAAAACACAATTTTTTTATTTTTATTTTTCAAAACAGCAGTCATTTATTTGAAGAAACAACACATCTAAAAAAAACTGAGGAAATTACACATGCTAATCCCCAGTTATTTAATCTGTTCGATGTCACATATAGCAAATGTTTAATTTTGAGAAGAGATTTTGTCTACAACTTTATAAAAAAATAATTTTATTGTCCCATGTGTAAAGGAGGATAAATAATAAATTTAGTATTAATCTTTATTTCCCAGTAGGAGTACTCTTAATACTAGATTTTCCCAGTAGGAGTACTCTTAATACTAGGTTTATTATTCAATTTCTTTTAGACGCGGAACAATAAAAATATTTTTTTGTATAAAGTTCTACGCAAAATCTCTTTTTCAATATATTTATTATGTGAGATATCTAATAAAGTAAATCATTGTTGAGGGTGCTTGCAGGTATGCCTGTGATTATCTTCCATCTTAAAACTGAGTTCGTGCCTTGTGTAGTAAAAAATTGCAATGTAATTGGTCATTTTTAACTGTTTTTTTTCAATTATTTTTTCTGGTTAGCTTTGAATTATTTAGTAATTTGGATATGCTCAAGTCATGATTTTTTACAATTTTTCTATTGTTAATTTTTTTTCTTGTCATTGTATTCCTTTTATTTATATTATTTAAATTGCCTGTTAAACCAATACCTCGAAATCTTAATTATTAGTTTTTAGTATTTTTTTTTTTACATTGATTTTTTTTTTTTTTTTTTTTTTTTAATTCCGGTCTGCGGTTAACCACAGGCCACAAATCTAGTAATTTTCTCAAGAGTCAAAAGTAAACGAGGCCTGGTCTGTAAAGAGAGGAGAGGAGCATCGCACCCATGTTTTTTAGCCGCCTCCTACACTCGAGGAGTTCTTTGGTGGGCTGAGTCCATTTACCTTTTCAATATCGACATTGGCCATTGGAAGCTGGGCCGAGCCTTTTCCACTGGGGACCACAAACAACTATTTTTCTGGCATCCTTTGTCCCAATTAAAATAAAATAAGAAAAAGACAACTCCAAATATAATATAATATTTTGGTCGGCAAATGGCTCAATGAGGTCCGGATAGGGCAATTCCGCGTGCTAAGCAGGAAGGATTCTGTCCGTTGGATCAAATGCATTAAATAAAATCAAGCCTGACTTTCCTTGCTTATTCTCCGACCCTTCATTTCCTCACAAAATAAAATTCAACAAAAGAATAAAAAATCAAAAATCAAAGAATATCTTCGCGTTACCACATTTCTCCACTCACTTCCTTCCACGTACAGCATCTGACCTCACTTGTGCCCATCCTTCTGCTGGAAAACAAAGACCTCATCTACCTGCCATTGATTAAACCGGAAACTGTGGCCGAAGCAGCTCCTTTGGAAACTTTTTCTCTGGAATTTCCCATCTTTTGCAAGAACCCCTTCAGGTACAATTTCTCCTTTCACTATTTTATTTCATGCAATCAATCTTCTCTGTTTTGGTTTCTCTTTGCTAGATCTTATATCAGTACTTTTGTTTTTGTTAAAAACGATTAGGGTTAGGGTTTCAGTTTTTATAGGGATTTTGAGTCTCAGTTTGGCTTTATTGTTACTTTGATCCAAGGATCTGATGCTAAGGTCAAGTTATTAATTTTGTACTCCTTGATGTTACAAAATAATCTGCTTGGTTTGTCGTGTTCTTAGGAATAGAAGGCATGAATTGAAATGGGAGACCCATAGATTTTTGTCGTGTTCTAATTTTAGGAATAGAGGGCATGAATTGAAATGGGAGACCCATAGATCGAAGCTTTAGAAGTTATCTGGTATAAAAATTCCTCGCTGACATGTACTTTATTTTTTTGCTCCTTTAATTTAATTGATTTAAACCTGAAACTATTTTTTGAATGAGATAAAGAGAGAATAAGTACTTATTTAGCGCCAATTTTTTTTTTTGTGTCGATGTGATGGTACTGATTTTGAAAAGATGAAGAGTGGCCAATAAGGATATGCACAACCCTTTTTTTGTGTAGTTTTTATTTTATCTAGCCATTTTTTTAAAGATCTGTATGCCATGTAGGTTTTTTAGGTCAATGGGCACTGATTTTTTTTTTTTTTTTTTATGGGTCTCTGGTTAGAGTTTTACATCATTTTCTCTGAGGAAGGAGCCGGAGGTAAAAAGAAAGACCGTTGTTAGATATTTGGTTCAGCCTCCTGCTCTCATGTTGAGTTGTTTCATTTTTTTAAGAAGCTCCTGTGATGATGAGTTTTGCCATTTGTCTTGTTGAGTGTGGTTTCTAATTGCTATCTATTGATCTGTGTCTTGTGTTTGGCGTAGTTTTGGCTGATTTTTGTGTTTTCAGTTTTTATTCTGGCGATGTTTAATTTTCTTTTGTTGTTGTGTGCAATGAGAATAATGATTTTGATTTTTCCAAACTTGAAGTAAATTGTTGAAATGAGTCAACCACAAGAGCCACACCGCCCTTTCTTCCCATTCGGAAATCCTTTCAGGATGCTATCTTCAAAGGGTTCTCAATTGTCCCCAAGGCTTCTTTCTCTATTAAATGCTTTTGAGGATGCTTTGGCAGCAAGGTTGCGGAAACTGAATCCTAAAGACAAGCATGATGTTCTTAGCTTGGCATGGATGAAATTGGCAATGGAGTCACTCTGTGAGACTCATACTGACATCAAAACCCTAACCACCGAACTTGATCTCCCTGTGACTGACTGGGATGAGAAGTGGATAGATGTGTACTTGGACATCAGTGTGAAATTGCTTGATATTTGTGTTGTTTTTAGTTCTGAGCTCTTGCGCCTGAACCAAGGTCATCTCATGCTTCAATGTGCCCTGCATAATCTGGAGTCCAACACTTCAGAGAAGCTTGTGCGGGCATGTTCTTCTATAGATAGCTGGAGACAGCACATTGGCTCAAAGAACCCTAGACTGGAAAACTGTAAATCCATCCTGGATGGTCTTGTGGATTCACCGAGTCTGCCAAAGGTTAAGAACTCAGCCAAAGGAAAGGTGTTGATGCAAGCTATGTATGGAGTTAAGATACATACAGTGTTTGTATGCAGTGTCTTAGCTGCTGTGTTTTCAGGCAATTCAAAGAATCTGTTAGATTTGGATGTTGCCAACACAACAATGTGGGTGCAAGCTTTTTCTGATTTGCAAACTAATGTAAATGGAGGAATTATAGATATATCTTCTCAAGGGAAATTTACTGCCCTGAAAGAATTAGATGAAGTTGATACAGCTGTGAAGAATTTATATCCCATGATCCAAGATGGTATGAGGCCTACTGAAGCCGATGCATTCAGTAATTCTTTTTCAGATTTGGGGAGGACAGCAGAAAAACTTTCCCAAGGGCTAGATCTTCTTACTAAGGTAGTAGATGGCTTTTTCAAAATAGTTTTAAGTGGGCGTGATGCTTTGCTTTGTAACTTGAGAGTGTCTGATACTGTTGCTGACCCATTCCCAGGGAGCAATGGGGAACAGTTTGTAAGATAGATGGTTATGGTGAAGCTTGCTTGAATGTATAGTTTTGGTATGAGATGTTCCCTCAGTAGTATTGTCAAGTGTGAAGTATGTTGTTGTGCTTTCATACTGGTTTGTACAAGGATGTTGTATGATATAATGTCAGTAATACATGAAAATGTTTTGCAGTATTTCAGTGTAGCCAGGGAGACTTTGCTAGCATGCTGCTTTCCTTGATGTTATAAAGCTTATGTTTTTTTTCCCCTGATATTCTTCGAGTCGTTTGTGATAGGACATTGGTGAGTAATTGGTCTCATGAAGGATGCGTATTTTCAGGGCTTTTTTCCTGTGTTGTGCTTGAAAGCTGAGGTTTACCATAACGACTGTTTTTGAAATTCAATTGGGTCTGTTATTTCTTTCCAAAGTATGAGTATATTACTCCCACTGCACATGAAATTTTATGTTCCTTAACTAGAGATGCGGAGGGAGTGTCGTCTTCTCAATTCTGTTTTGGGATGAAGTTATTCCTAGTTAACGTCCCCCCTGATATTCAATCTCACCTTGTAGACTGAACACCAACCCAATCGGTTCTCTCCTTGCCGGCTTGGAGACTTGAAACCTTCACTTTAGCGGTTTTGTGCCCAAAAGTCCCTGAATGTGTTTGTGTTGAATTGACCTAGAGTTGGTGGCATGCCAGATCCAACTAATATTGACTTCATGCGTGCTTTTGCATCATTTTCTAGGGGGGTGCAACTTCGTGAATATGGAACAAGTTTGGAACGAATCAGCATCGTTTCGTGAAATTTGGATAAGATGTATTATTTAATGTAATCTTATTTCACTGCTATGGTTAGAATTCCATAACTGAATTAAAAAAATTATAAATTCTTTTTTCTTTGTTTTTTTTCCTGCTATGGAAGAAAAGATTTACCTGCTCTATTTATTATCAAATCATTGTACCTTTTGAATTAAAAAAAATTAGAAATTCTTTTTTCTTTGATTTTTTTTTCCTACTATGGAAGAAAAGATTAACCAGCTCTATTTATTATCAAATCATTGTACCTTTATGAAAGATATCGCATGGAATAAATTATCAAATCCCTGTACCTTTGTCAAAGACTTCCTTACATGTAAATGGGAAAAGGAAGAAACTCAGTCAAAATAGAAGTTCCTGGGCTAGAAGAAATGGAGACTGACTGTCAAGGAGCATAGCAGCTCGACCAGAGGGAGAGGAGTGAAGCTGCTTGACCGAATAAGTGAATATATATTATCGGGAACATTTTTATTATATGCTTCTTAGCAGTTGAATTAATTAGCGCTCTGGGGAGCTAGATAGGAAGTTTCAGCCGGAAGCAGCTGGACAGTCTGGGAATGCTTTGCAAAGCAAAGAAGCTTCCCTTGATTCCATTGATAGGTATTAATCTTTTCTGTAGAATCCCTAAAGCAACGAGCACAGCATATGGTTACACCCATCTCCATGAACAGAGAGAAAGTAGACCTCGAGGCGCTGTAGCCTTTCGATGTTTGAACGAACGGAGGTTGACTTTAAAACAGCCGTGAAAGCTGGAAACTGGAGAGCACGCTAAAGCAAGCCATCGTGATGCCACTGTATTCTTTACGGCCAGGAACATGCCACTGGATTCTTTATGGGTCAGGATGTTCAAGACTTGGGCAGAACTCATGGAAGCCATGGATTTGCACAATAATCATTCATGATATGCATATGCAATTCTAACACTGACTTTCATCTGTGTTGTGGAATAAAATATATCCAACCAATGACAGAGCCATTGATCTGAGTAGCGAAAATGGTTAGAGGTTGGATTCTGCTCGTTACATTGCGAGGTTAGTACGAGGCTAGATTCGTGGTTTAAATTTGATGAAGGTTTAGGAGTTATGGATGTTACTGATGGAGTGATGGTGGATTTCAGTGAATGCCCTCGGGGTTGAAAAAATAGGCTGTGAAAGACTTCCCACGTCCTGCTTAGCATCCCAGTGGTAAAAAAACTAATAGGAAGCCACAATCCGTCTTTAATTACGCAGCTGTGCTATGCGCTGCTCAGGGACCAGCACTACGAAGACAGCATGTATCCTAATACAAGTTACAGGCTATATGCCTGTGTACTGCATATAGGGGCAAAAGATGGCTTGTGCGGAAATAGCTAGCCAGTTTCTGTAGGGAATACATATTACCGAAGCAAGTTCTCCAAGAAAAGTACTAAATTTTTTCTTCTTCAAGACAACCCTATTCCTTTAATGCAAAAAAAAGGGTCCTCGTCGCCCTAAGAAACAAAAAAAATCGACATTTTCGCCAGCAATCCATGCCTCGGGCAATAAGCTCCCCAAGAGTAAGGATGCTGACATGCGGCTTCTTCCTCAGCTCGCGTAGGACCGGTCCAAATACTCTAGTCCCCAATGGCTGGCCTTGCTGATCAACAATTACTATTGATTGTCCTCAAACTTGTTCATTGCCATCAACAATCACTATCCTTAATTTTAATTTTAATGCCCATCACTTGGTGCAAACAAAACACTTACATAATCAGCGTCCCAAGATTCCAAACTCTCTGCAACGACTATAACTTGAGCACTAGATTAGGAAAGGAAAAAAAGTAGCAGAAGCAGGAAGGAAACTCAAAGGGGGGTCAGGAACATCTCCCCCTCAGCCCTTGTATATGCTGGTTTTTGTATGCAAAATTGATGAAGAATTAACTTCCACTGCTTTGCCTTATTTCCCGCCATAGAAAGGAATTAAAACCTGAAACTTTTTTAGCTTTAAAGCCATACATTTTTCCCTTGGAAAACTATTCAGTTTTTTTTTTTTTTTTTTTATGGGTTGGATATCCATAAATATAATCATACTAAATAGTTTTTTATGAGCCAAAACACTATTTTACAATAAATTCAAGTTCACAATAAATTAGCAAAATTAAACTCAAACTTGGTATTACTGACTTAAACTAGAAAAATATATATGAGTTAAATTCATACTATTTTGATAAAGTTTATTTATTATTAATGATTTCTCAACTTTCATAAACTACAAAAACATCTCATTTCTTTTCTATATGAGATATATATAGGATTTTGGGTTTTACATAAATGTATTAGTCAAGAATTTAACTATTGGACCTCAATTTTAATTTGGTTTAAAATATATCCATTAATAATGTTTTCATTAAAACAATTTCCAATACTTGTTTCCGCACCACATCCTTGTTTGTATTTGTATTTTAAAAATATGTTAAAAAATAATTTTTATTTTATTTTAAATTAATATTTTTTGAATTTTCATATTATTTTAATATGCTAATATCAAGAATAAATTTTAAAAAATAAAAAAATATTATT